GTGCTTTAAGGTATTTGGAGAGGACATTGATTTGTAGTGTTCGAAATAGACACAGAATTTTTGGCAGGATCATCATTTTGATGGCCGCGCATCTGCCAACCCAGGATAGGTATTTGCCCTCCCAGGTTTTCAATGTATTCTCAATTTCCGTGTGGAGTTTTTGGTAGTTCATTGTGAAGAGTGAGTTATATGTTTTCGTGATTTTGATACCCAGAAACGTGGGATAGTCCTCTCTCTTTTTGGAGATTCGGGAGGGAAATTAATGGTTGGGATAACGTTAAAAGGACGTCGTCTGCGAACAGATTGTGTTTGTACTCTTTTTCTCCTATATTTATGCCATGTATATTTGGATTACGTCTGATGGCTTCTGCGAGGGGTTCCAGGGCTATTACATAGAGAAGTGGTGACAGGGGGCACCCCTGCCTAGTCCCATTTGTGATGTCGAATGGGTCTAATTGGAACCCTGAGGATGATACCGCTGCATTTGGAAGGCTGTATAGGGCTTTGATGGCTGTCAGGTAAGTGGGGGGAAAGTCACATTTTTTGAGGGTAGCCTCTAGGAATTGCCAATTCAGTCTGTCAAAGGCTTTTTCTGCGTCTAGTGAGATTGAGTCCTTGTTTCCGGTCCATGTGTATCATCTGTATAATGTCTATCACTTTTCGTGTATTCGCTGAGCCTTGCCTTCCGTGCACTTCGTCATTTGAGATAAGAGAGGGGAGGATGTTTTTGAGTCGGTTGGCTAGTATTTTTGCATATATTTGGGTGTCTGAGTTCAGTAATGATATGGGGCGGAAGTTTTGACAGTGTGTCGGTGGTTTTCACGGTTTCAGTAGGGTAATTATTCTAGCTGCCAGGTATTCCGCTGGGAAGTTCCCTGTCTGGAGGGCATGATTGAATGCCCTTTTGAGATGCGGGGCCAGATGTGGTGCAAATTTCTTATAGTACTCGTTCGTGAAGCCATCTGGGCCTGGTGCTTTCCCTAGGTGTGTGGATGTTATGCAATCTAAGATTTCGTTTTCTGTGATGGGGGCTTCCAGGAGTTGCTTCTGGGTACCAGACAGGGTTAGCAGCGGAATGTCTGTTAGGTAGGATTGTATGCCTGTTTCTGTGGGTTGCGAGGTGTTCGAATCTTTTGAGAGGTTATATAGTTGGCTGTAATATTGGGCAAATTCTTTACATATGTCTGAGGGTAGGTGTACTTTATGGCCCTTCTTGTTTATGATGTGGGCTATCCGTGTTTGTTGCGGTCTTTCTCGTAGGTGTTGTGCTACAAGCTTGCTGGCTCTATTACCTTGGACGTATGTGCGAGTGTTTAAGCGCTTTAGCATGAGGCCGAATTTGTGGAGTCTGGTCTCATTGAGTTTGTTTTGGAGTGCATTGATTTGTGTTTTGTGGTCTGCTGATGGGTGTTTTTGGTTGTCTTTGTGAAGATCTACCAGTTGTTGTTTGTATTGTGGTGTTTCTTTTTCTGTTCGTTTTTTCTAGGTATGTGGCTCTGCTTATCAGTGTGCCCCTTATTACGGCTTTGTGTGCAAGCCAAATCGTGTGGGGGTTCAGGTCATTTGAGGCATTAGTGGAAAAGTAGTTGTGGATTTTGTTTTCTAGGATTTTGCAGTATTGTGTGTCTTTGAGTAGATATTCATTGAGACGCCATGGGTTTCTGTGTTTGTATTCATATGAGCTTGCTAATGTTAGTGTCGTTGGTGCATGGTCTGACTAGTCAACATTTAGAATGTCGCATTCCAGTATGTTGGTCATTGTGGATTCATGCATGAAGCATCCGTCGATTCTAGAGTATGTGTTATGTACTTTGGAGTGGTGTGTGTAGGCCTTTTCTGACGGGTGGAGGGCTCTTCATACGTCTCTCAATCCATATGTGGATAGCAGATTCCTGAGGCTTCTACTTTGTTTTTTCAGGGTTTTGTAGTGGGGTGACGTGGGTGGCCTGGGTGAGTCTAATAGTGGGTCCAATACGTGGTTTATGTCCCCGCTCATGACTAGAATGCCTTTCCTAATTTTTTCAATTTTAGTGAGGACCCCGTGCAAAAAGTTTCTTTGGTTGGTATTTGGTGCGTATATATTCACCAGTGTGTAGTCTATATCATTGATTGTGCAGTGCCATATGATGTACCTCCCTCCTGGGTCTATTGATTGGTCGTGTGCTATTACTGTGAGGTCCTTGCTGAGGAGAATGGACACTCCTCGAGATTTCCTCGGGGTGGTGGCATGTGCTTGGTGAGGGTATATGTTTGGGCTTATGTGGGGGTGAGCCTCGGTTCTAAAGTGTGTTTCTTGGAGATATACTATGTGGGCTTGTGCTTTTTTTAAGTTCCCTACCCAGGGTGTGGCGTTTATGTGGGATATTCAGTCCCTGTACATTATGAGAGTATATTTTTAGACTGAATGTGTATGGTTTTTGGGTTTGCTGTCTTGTTCTTTGTTCTCTCGGATGGTGACTTGTGGCGGGTCGCCGCTCTTACTCTGGGAGGATTGGTTGGGGAGGATCTTTGCTAGGTATAGGTGTGGAGGTTTAACCCTTCTCGGTTCTATAAGGCGATTGTGTTGCACTTGTGGAGTGTTAACCCAGCCTTTTTGTGTAATGCATACAGAGATATGTGGCGTGCTTTGACTTTGATCATAGGTGTATCTAAAAAATTTAACATTATTTATAACAACATAAACATAACAGTTTTTGAAACCTGACCATTGTGCCCTGGTCGTCCGTCAGGGCACAGTTTATCCTGCTAGTTCCTCCTACTAGCTCTCCCTATCTGGGGGGTTGGGGAGTCCGGTTCTGGCCTGCAGGCCGCTCCAGTGGTCGCAGCCCCAGGCCAACAGCTCTAATCTATTCTACCTTGGAGATAATTCTTGAGGGCTGTCTATCTCGGGAGATCCATTATGTTTGGAGAGGCGGAGAGGTCGTACCTCCAGTCTTGTGCTCTCAACTTGGAGGTGGTTATATGAACCTCTACCTTTAAGATTAGAAATTGTCTCCTACCAAGGGTATCTACGGGTGTTAGTTTGGTATGGTAGCTTGACAGAGAGGTAACATTCGGATCCCAAGTTCCAATATTTTTGCAAGTGCTCTTTGTATACCCATAAGGCTCATTGTCACATGGCTTAATTTGGGCAAATTAACCAGGGAACCCTACGTTGATTCCTCCCTGGTGGCCCGTGTTGTGGTGGCAGTAGTGCGCTTGCTTTAAGTATTATTGCTAGGGTCCAACTGGCTAGTATTGCCTGTGGAGCTGACACCCCTACCTGGCCATACAGCCCTGTGATCACCTGTCACTGTACGTTTTCTGCCCTTGGGGTTTATCAGTTACTTTTCTTTGCGCCATTTTATATTGAGCCTTTGCCCATGCTTCCTTCTGTGGTTTAGTTATTTTATTAGGGTAATTGTTGGGTATGTTTTCGGGAGGGGTATGGGGTTCTTCCTTCTTGGGGCGTGACATGCTGATTAAGCAAGGACCCAGTCCCATGATGGACTATCTTTCACCACCTGTTGCGCCTTTGCGCAGAGTTACTCTCCATCCCCCTATGTCCCCTATCCCCCCCTTCCCTTTTGAGTATTGAATAGTTATCTATATAAATTTCAGTGAGTATATTACCCTCTCCCGTTTTGCTTCCCTTGATTGTCGGTAATCAGTGTCCCAAAGTCTCTGAGAGAGATTAACAATGTCCATGGTATGTTTTTGGTTGGTTCGGTCTACATGGATGCCATCCGTCATCTCCTGGTTTCTTTCACTTAGCGTTGGTATTCTTTGATGCTTTGGAGTTTCTCGCTGTCTGCCATTCTTGGTGAAGTGCCGACCGTTTGGTTGGTTTGTCTTTTTCTGTGGCTAGGCTGATGCTCCAGGAATGCAGCAGTCGGGCTCCATCTTCTGCGTTTGAGGCTACCTGTGTTTTGCCGTCTTGTAGGATCAGTAGCTTGATTGGGAACCCCCATCGGTACGGGATTTTCCTGTTCCTGAGTTCAGCTGTGATGTCTTTGAAAGTTTTCCTGCGTCTAAATGTTTCCGCCGATAGATCTGCATATATCTGGATTTCTTTATATGGGTCCGGGAGTTCTTGTTGAGGTTTTTTGGAACGTAGAATGGATTCTTTTACATGATAGTAGTGCATTTTACCTTTTTTTTAGAGGCGGGTAGGTGTTGTGGTTTTGCTACTCGGTGCGCCCTGTCCATGAGTAGCATGTCAATTGGGAGGTCAGGTGCTAAGACATGGAACAGGTCTGTGAGGTACGCCATGAGGTCCGGTGTCTGTACTTCTTCAGGGATGCCTCTCACTCTGAGATTTTGGCGCCGGGATCTGTCCTCTAGATCCATGTTTTTTACTTCCTGTTTCTCAAGTCCAGCTCTTCAAGTTTTTCTGCAAGGCTGTTGTGTGCTTCGGCATATTCCGCCATCTTGCCTTCCATATGGGCTGTGCGGTTACCGATGTCTATAATATCTTTTTTTAGGTCTGCTATTGCTGATTGGACTGTTGCTTGGATCTTTGAAGCCATATCATCCAGCATTGTCTGGAATAGTTCACCGTGAATTTGCATGGTGTTGTGTGTTGGATGTTGTGGGGATTGTGGCTGGGATACCTCCCGGTCGTCTCCACTGCCGTCGCCATCTTGTGATGTTTGTGCTTGTGATTTATGGCATGCCATTTTCGCCGCGAAAAACTAGTGCTTTTCTTTGGTGTCAGTCACCCTCCTTGCTCCCCTCTATGACATCGTTTCAACTCCTCTCCCTGGAGTAGTTTTATGCTGGTAGGTTGCTGTTTATTTCGCTGTATATAGCCATCGGCTCGGGAGCTCCCTTCTCACGCGGCCATTAAGTTCGAGCGCAGGCTCCGCCCCTGAATTTGTATTTTTTTTTTATACAGAAACAACAAGTATACCAAGCATACAAATACTTTAATATGTGCACAACATGACTAAACACCAATGTTCAATTGAGAACAAACAAAAAGAAGGAACAGTGTAGCTATATTATTAAATATGTAATATATATTCCTTCACGGATCTTGCCCTGCACTTTATCACTATATATATATAGTGATAAAGTGCAGGGCAAGATCCGTGAAGGAATTTATATTTCCCCTAGAGAAGTGTTGTGTGCAACAACAGAAAATTATGTTTAGTTATGGGCCCCTAGGGTGGAGCACGAGGAGAGCAGGGTGGGCCAGTACTCCACTCCGCTGTTTATTGGGAGACATAAGTCCAGACGAGGTATTCGACCTGTTTCCAGCCTATTGCTCAGCTGGAGGCAATCAGATACAGCAGTGGGAATTAAACCCCTCCCGGCTAGACAGGTGGGAGGGGGGGGGGATTGCTGGTTTCCTCCCTGAAAGCAGGTAGGAGAGATGCTGTTCTCTCCTGTGAGAAAGTTGGAAAGCAGTAGACTGGCTTGGAGCACTGGAAGTGCAGAGAGTCAAGAGTCAAGGTGACTGAGCACTGGGCTGCAGGAAAAATTAACATGGAACAAGGTTGGTGATACCTACGTTTTTGTTAGTTTAGAACCCTTGGTAGATAGGGAATAATAACGTTAGCTAGTGCTCAGACGAGCTAGGGTTTGATTTAAAAGGAAATCTGTTTTTGTTATGTTATTTTGTATTGTGTTACTGCCGCCTGAATGGACTTTTAAATAAAGGGCCTGAATTGAATTGGAACCAAAAGACTGCACATGGTTTTTACCCTAGAGGACCATGCAACTGGCAAACAAGGATCACAATATATATATATATAGTTATAATGTATATACTGATGTTTATACAATTTACATTTGCAAAACACACAACCGTCAGAAGCATTGTGCGGTCTGAGTGTTACGGTGGCAGGTAGGCATCACCCAGGCCAAGGGCTGGTCGCGATGGCCACGGGTTGAAACCAATGGGGGAAATCAAGAGATTTCCCTGGCCGTTCCCCTTCAGGGTTGGTGCTGCCTGAGCGCTGGCACATAGAGGAAGTTCTGTGGCTGGTGGGGAGATCAAAGAGCTCCCTCACAGTCTGCACACACATGCTCCAGACTAACTACACTAGGGGTATGGACCACAGTTCCCACTCTTGCCAAGGCTCAAGGTAAGGAAGAGGGATGGGGTAAACTTTACAGCAGCCCCTACTCCATCTCCTCTCACACCCTGCAGCCCCATGTTCCCCATCTCTCACCCTGCAGCCTCTGTCCCCCTATCTCCACTGTTGTGCTATTTGGAACAGTATGAATTTTAATATTCAGAAAACATATGGATGCTGATAGATGGGTCTGGATATTACGTAACATTGCTTCAATCTCTCAAAATAGCCTTTTGTTTAATGATCCTGAGAAATAGGAGAAATCCCTTTCATTCCTGAGATATACATGTACAAGAATAACAGTGAACAATGAAGCATTACCAAGATGGACTGTCCCACCTGAAAATCCTAGAATCTAGAGACCTTCGATTGATCGAAGGAACAAGGAGTTGTTTGCTTTATATATATAAGACAAACCTGTCTTTGCTTAAATAACATATATAACAAAGGAAGGTTGTTTAGGTTGATTCTAAGCTATTAGTATAGGATTAAAGGTCAATTCATTTATTTAACCAGGTCATCAATGATCTAATTAAGGTCTTCATACCTAGGGAACTAGTGCCATCTACTGATGAAAGTCCCTAAGGACCACAGTAATAATTAAATATTAGGATACACCCATAACCAACCAAAAGACAGGTTTTTATACTAGGTACAGTCCAGTTAAAACCAAGGGGCATGAGCTGATAAGGGTGAGATTATGGTTAAATCGGGAGAAAAAGAAATCAAAAATACCACCCAAAATATCATCAAAATAAGATCCTGTAGGAGGCTGACTGAGGGCACTAGACTGAGTTAAAGGGCAGAGAGGAGAATCCCAAATTAAATTAATTTATTATAAACTTTTTGTAATGTATAAAGGTTTCGCTCTATAAAATGTTTATTTTAATAATAAAGATAGACTAGTAAATGCCCTATATTTCTATATTGTAAACTGATCCCATCATATTGATGACACAGTTAAATCTCATTCTACCTGCAGTCTGAGTCAGATATAACTTAAGTTGGAACATCTCTGATTCCTTCTTTATATGTATACCGTATATACTCGAGTATAAGTCGACCCGAATATAAGCCCAGGCCCCTAATTTAACCACAAAAAACAGGGAAAACTTATTGACTCGAGTATGTTTCAGAAAATTAGTAGTATACCATATTGTTAATTCTGTAGGCTGAGCTCCACTGGAAATTGACATCTCTGTTTGTTGTATATAACTGGTAAGATAGTGAATGAAAGAAAGGAGTGGTTCTAATCCCTAAGGGGTAAAGGAATTGACCTGTTGATTTGAAGTCCTATATAGTATAGCAAATTCAGTATAAATTGTTTTTTTGCTTTGCATTTAACAGTGTGTATTAATAACCCTGTATATATTGTAGGCAGTCTGTTTATTTGTCATCTGCCATTCATAAGTGTTTATATTACTACAGGGTCCCTGAAGACTGTGTGTTTGAATATCACCAGATATTATATCTATATTGCATACATATAAAACCTTAGATTACACCACCACACTACACATGGGCTGTCCTGCTGGGTATTAAACAGACATGCCCACCTTTAGGCCCTGCCCTTACTAAGGCTGCTCTGCCTTAAAATGCCTTGGCCAAATTTTTATCCCAGTCCGGCCTTGCTCCTATTGGTACTCCTTGACTCAGTTACTGTTCCTCGCTTTTACATGATTTCTAGGTTATATAGGGAATATAGCGCAGAAAACCATGAGAGGAACTTCAATCCAATTCCCAGCAATCTCAGTGTTCCCACCATGAGTCCCTAGTCTATTCTGTCAATTGCTTTTTCTACATGCATTGACAAGAGATAGGAGCCCACTGCCGCTCACTACACTGATCAGATTAAGGGTCCTGATTGTGTTATCATAGACTTGCGGCCTAGAACGAAGCCTATTTGGTCAGCATGGATAATACTCAGGAGCAGCAGTGATATGCAGTTGGCAAGTATCTTGGAAAGAAGTTTAAGATCTACATTAAGGACTCATATTAGTCTATAAATCGAGCACAGAGTTCCTTGGGTTATAGTGTAATGTTTGCCGTTTTAAATTGTGCCAAGTCGATGGGCCCTCCAAGATGGACCTGAGTGTGTCTAGGAGCATGGAGTTCAACTCGGAATAAAAAGTTTTGTAATAGAGAATTGGGAGATCGCTGGAACCTGGTGATCTGCAAGTCTTATAAGATTTAATGCTCGACTCACATTTCTTGCGAGTCAAGCAAAGGGAGATGAAGTGTCCATTGAAGACTGTCTTGTGAGCCTCCCAACACAGCATTTTTTAAGCTCCTGGAGTTGTGTTTGTGGCAAAGTAGTCTGTTGGTACTTTTTTGGTCTCCACAGGACACGTTCAGAGGTCTAGTGAAGTCCATGCCTCAATGCATCAGTGCTGATTTGGCAGCATGAGACAGATCTACACAATATTAAGCAGGTGATTTTAATGTTGTGGCTGATCAGTGTATGTATAGGACCTCTCTTGCCAGTCTAATACTTTCACTTAGTAAGAGAGTTGCCTCTCTTAGCTCCCTGAATACTTCACCCACTATTCCAGCATCTTATATCTGAATTTCTGTGTCCCTCCAGTGTACTGTTAAGCTACACCAGATTGCAGGCATCATTCAATCTGGGGACAGTTGATATTTCTTGAATCACATCCTGGCTGAATCTATACGAATACCACAGCAACCCAAGATGCACCCCTCCTATTATTCATAATTGCGCTAAGTACCCACAACCATGTGATTAACAGGGCTACAGGTTATGTGACTTTTTCCTCCTCATATTGTAGCCAGACCTGTTTCCATGGTTCATCCTGCACCAATTCTTTCCCTAGCTGCTGATACTCCTGTCATATTACCTAAAAAAAAATGAGGACTATAAAAATGTGTTCAAGAAGAATCGTGCTGACAAACTACCACCCAGAACAGCATATGATTGCTCAATCAAACAAATATGTGGGCCCTAATTTTTTATGGTCACATATACCCTTTGGCAAACCTGAATACTGAAAACATTGTTCATCCATGCATCCATCCTGAAACTTCAAAGGCCTTCTTCCTGGAAGTAGAAGCCTCCAACACTGGCAGCTTTTGCAGTGAGATGAAGAAAAGCTCTTGTTGCATCCTGCAGCTTTCTATTCAAGGAAACTAAACCACACAGAATGAAAATATAGAGGGTGAAAGAACAGTAGACCACCAAATGTGCCCTGGAGGAGTGGCTTTACCTAGTTGAGAAGGCAATGTATCCAATCACCATCTATATTGATTGTGACGAACTGGACCTCATTACTGATTCTTGGAGGGGCATACATGCCAGCCTCTTGCCCACAGACTATGGACCCTGTAAACTGTGATATAAAAGTCTCCGTTTGTCTATTTGAATTATATGGTTCGGTAATTGAGCAGCTGCACAAACCAGAGACCACCCTGGAGCTTGTTAAGCTTAATTGATACATTTTTGCAAATTCCACTGCAGTGGTCTAAGTGTTCGTCTGGGTGGCCACAATTCCTATGGACAACCACGAGGTCGCGGCCATCTTGTTCGCATGGACCAAAACTGTGGATTGACTTCAGCGGCACTTAGCCGCGATTCTATGGAACTAATTTTGGCCTGAAGACTTTGCGGTTCCCGGTCCGTCCTCCAGTGGCACTTAGCAGTGATTTTATGGAACTATTTTTGGTGTTCCAGTACAGTGCTTATGGTGCTCACAAGTACTAGGAAGCAGCGTTTGATGGAGGTACCCGGTCGGGGTGCCAGGCAATCCGTCACAATCACTATTTCCCAAATGCTCGCCTACTTGAATGTTGGTCAAAAGTTTAACATTGTTTGGTATAACGAGATCAAGACAAGCATCCTTTCTGGTTGGTGCTTGTACCAGTTGTGACATAAAAGGTATCATTTAACACATTCAAATACCTGATTTCCCTTGCTTAAGTACTAGTCACTCTATCCCAGTTTATGTCCGGGTAATTAAAATCTCCAATAATTACCGTGTTACCCAGATTTGCAGCTGTTCTTCCTCA